CTGTGGGAAGTGCTATAAAAGCTCTTGGGAACTAATGTCCCATCAACGTATTCACTCTGATGAGAAACCGTTCAGGTGCTCTCAGTGTGGAATAGGGTTCAAGCGATCATCTCAACTCACTGTACACCAGCGAGTTCACACCGACAAGAGACCGTTTAAATGTCCAGACTGTGGGAAGTGCTACAAAAGTTCTGCAGAACTGATGTCCCATCAACGCGTTCACACTGACGAGAGACCCTTCAGATGCTCTCACTGTAGAACTGGCTTCAAGCACTCGTCTCAACTCACTGTCCACCAACGAATTCACACTGGGGAGAGACCTTTTAAGTGTCCCGACTGTGGGAAGTGTTTCAACAGGGCTGATGGACTGACATCCCATCGACGTGTTCACACTGACGAGAGGCCATTCAGATGCTCTGACTGTGGGACTGGGTTCAAGCGTTCATCTCAACTCATTATCCACCAGCGAATTCACACTGGGGAGAAACCATTCACCTGTTCCGAGTGTGGGAAAGGATTCACCCGGTCATCGCACCTGCTAACTCACCAGCGAGTTCACACTGGGGAGAGGCCTTTCTCCTGCTCAGTGTGTGGGAAGACATTCACTCAGTCGTGCCACCTGCTGACACACCAGCGGGTTCACACTGATGAGAGACCATTCATCTGTACCTATTGTGGAAAGAGTTTCAGGCATTCAGGCAGTGTCAATGAACACCAGCGAATCCATACTGGGGAGAGGCCATTTCTCTGCTCCAAATGTGGGAAGGGATTCACTCAGTTATCTCACTTGCTGACACACCAGCGGGTTCACACTGATGACAGACCCTTCGTCTGCCCTCGCTGTGGAAGGAGTTTCAGGCATTCCGGTAGCCTCATTTCACACCAGCGAGTTCACACCGGGGAGCAGCCATTCACCTGCTCTATGTGTGGAAAAGGATTCACACAGTCAGCAAACCTGGCGATCCACCAGCAAGTTCACAAGTGACCACGGGTTGGATTCTCCTGTCACTACAGCTGTTAGTCGCATCCCGGACTGACCCATATTATTTCTGATATTTGCAGTTTGTGTCTGCTGATGATGTTAATGGTCCCTATCACAGGCTGGTGTTTAATATTCTGGATCTATAGCTGTTTTCCTCGGGCTGCAGTTTCCTTTTTGAGAACTGCTGTCTGTCTTCTATCCCCTTAGTTCAAGAAATCTCGTCAACATATAGATTAGAATAATATTCCATTCCAAATCTCGACAATTTAATGTCTGCAAGGTGCCGTTGATTAAAACCTTCAGTGAGAAAGTGCAGATGAATATTTGTTGACAATTCTTAGTGTTTCACACACTGGCCCCTCCATCATCCACCAGAAAAAAGGGACGTAGGAATTGGGTGAGAATCAAGAGTCTCCAAATATTACCTTTCAGCCTGGTACAGATGTCCAGTCAGTTCAGGAATGGAGACAAGTGCAATCTACTTAGTCTGTCACTGAAGAGTGACCTTTTAAATGTCCTAACTGAAGAATGTGCTTTACAAGTACTGGGGAACTAATGACCCATCAATGTATTCACACCGATGAGAGACCATTTTAGATGCTCTGATTTCGGGACTGGGTTTAGGCGGTCATCCAAACTCACTGTACACCAGCGAGTACAAGGAGGAGAGACCAGTCGTATGCTTTTGAGTGTGGGAAAGGATTCACTCAGTCGTCCCAGTTGCTGACACATAAGTGGTTCACAGTGGAGAGAGACTGTAGACATGCTCTGAGTGTGGGAAGGGTTTCAATTGATCATCACATCTGCTGAGGCACCAGGGAGATCGCAAATACTTCTATTTTTTTTCTTTATTCATTCACGGGATGAGGGCATCGCTGGCCAGGCAGCATTTGTTGCCCATCCCTAATTGTCCAGAGGGCAGTTTAGAGTCAACCACATTGCTGTGGGTCCAGAATCACATGTAGGCCAGACAGGTAAGGATGGCAGTTTCCTTCCCTAAAGGACGTTAGTGAACCAGATGGGTTTTTCTGACCATCGACAATGGGTTCGTGGTCATCATTAGATTCTTTATTCCAGATATTTGATTGAATTCAAATTCCACCATCTGCCATGGCGGGATTTGAACCTGAGTCCCCAGAATGTTATCTAGATCTCTGGATTAACAGTCCAGCGATAATTGATAGGATTCTTCTGTTAATCACACCCAGGAGTGAACAATGTTCAATGGGATCTGTTTCTACTGATTTTAATGAAATCTAGCTAAGTTAAATAGCCTAATATTCTGGATAGAAATCAAATAAATCAGCTTTGTGTAAGACACAATATCTTGTCTCTTTTTAATGTCTCTAACACACTTCTGAAGGGCTCCCCTTACCAATTCATCCTCACCTCAAATCTGCTTCCATTCCCAAATGCTGAATGTATATTTTCTTTCGTTTTCTCTCCTTTTATGCCTTGTGTCACTTCAAAGTTCATCTTATCCATGAAACCCACCTACTGCTCACTTGATGCAATTCTCACGACACAACCAACTGACCAAATTCTTCATGTCACTGTCTATCTTCTTCCACATTTGGAAGCTGATGTTACTTTGGGTCCTGATGAATGGAGAGACTGTGTCAGATCTTGACCTGAAGTTTGGTTTGAGTTGTAGCTGGAGTTGATAAAACTCTCCATAGTCAGTAAAGCAGAGAACTTCTCCTCAAATCTGGAAATCGCCATCCCACGCACGCACTCTCCTCCCTGGCCTGAGATCCCAATTAAGTCCTGGATAATTCAACAACTTGGTCCAGTTGAGACAATATTCCAAACCAATATCATGCATCTTTAGCGGACAATGATGTTTGGCTGATTGACGACGGATCCGGACCAATAGGGAGATTGGAGCAGGTCTGGAGGACCGAATGTGAACAGGTGGTCCTCCAACCAATCAGTGTGAATGAGGGGTATTGGATACGGGACGTCTCTTGTGACCAATATGGTGTGTACTCATGCGCAGGCGCGATGTCATTTTACGAGGAGTCTGAGCGGGAGAGGGAGAAAGTAAAAGAGGGAAGACAGCGGAGAGCGAGAGAGAAATGTAATCAGTGTGGTCTGGAAAGTTTCACATACACCCGGTGTAGGCCGCTAGATCCGAATTAAAACCGTTCTGCCGTTCATTTGCAACAAAACGGGGAATGGTCGCGGGTCTCATTCTGAGACACACCCGGGTTAGCACCGCCATCTTTATTGGGGGCAATTTTCCTCGGGATGTATGCACGGACGCCATGTTAGTAGGGGGCAGCTTTGCATTCGGGCGCATGCGCAGACTTCGTGACACGCCGTCAGCTGTGGAAGGTTTACACCGGAGAAACCAAGAGAAATATTTATCTCTTCTCAATTTTGAATCTTGGTCTGATTACAGTGCATTTTATTTAACAGGATTTGAAGACATGAGACTCAAACCAAGCATCGCATCAAGATCTGACATTCACTGGAGACATCAGGACGCGTATGTTTGTCATTTTATTTTGTGGTGAAAGGTTCACTGGACATGGAAAGAGGGGCAGGTCATGAAGGGATTTTAAAACAGAATTTGAGAATTTAAATTCTCAACAGACAGATGCAGGTCATTGAGGAAAGTGGTGATGGGTATGCCGATGGGACTTGGAGCGGAGCGCATAGATTCCAGAGATTTTAGGTAATCATTGACTTCTGAGGGCTTGAATGTAGGAGACTGACCAGGACTTTATTTGAGTAGTGCAATAAAGAAGTAACAAATGAATGGACAAGAGTTTCAGAAGATCAGCTTCGAGGATCAGTGGGCAAGTTGAGCAGTGTTACTAAGATGAAAACTTGAGGCCTTGGAGGTGGCAAAGATATTTAACCAAGGAACTGCGTGAGCGAAATATGATACCATTGCTGTAGGCTGTTTGGTTCGGTATAAGACAGTTGGCAGGGAGTGGATTGGAGTTAGTGGTAAAGGAATGAATTTTATAGCAGGCACTGAAGATAATGTCTTCAGACTCCCTAATATATAAATCGGGGAGGTTTCTTCTCACCCTGTACTGAATATCAGACAAGTCAGTTGTAGCCCTTTACTCACATCTACCTCTACTATCTCTTTCCCCTTTCACAGAGGCCAGCCCAGGTTGCATGAGCCAATTGGGTTTTTGTGACAATCCATGGTCACTTTTAACTTGCATTAGCTGCACAAATTTCCAGATTCATACAGCTCAATTTCACAACCTACATTTTGTGTTTTTTTTGGGGTTTTCTCTCACTTCCTTTTCCTGTTCAAAATCAATTTCACAGGTTATTAGAAGGTGACTGAAACCAAACACCACATCAGCATTTGATGGACTTATCCAATTTGCTGCACTTGAAAATCATCAGGTTATGAACATGGAAAGAAATGACACCATCCACAGTGCAGAGAAACCACACACGTGTTCTCGATGTGGACAGGGTTTCAGCCGATCATCTGGCCTGTCAAAACACAAGCACAGTCATACTGGGGAGAAACCATGGAAATGTGGGCACTGTGGGAAGGGATTCAGTTACCCTTCTGAGCTGGAAACTCACCAGCGCAGTCACATTGGGGAGAGGCCATTCACCTGCTCTGAATGCGGGAAAGGATTCATTCGGTCCTCCCACTTGATGAGACACCAGCGCACTCACACTGGGGAGAGGCCATTCATCTGCTCTGAGTGCGGAGAGAAATTCACTCTGCATTCCAACTTCATGATTCACTGCCAAATTCATAGCGGACGAATACCTTTCACCTGCTCTGTGGATGGGCAGCCATTCATTGATTCAGCTACCCTGCAAAACCAACCTGTTCACACTTTTGAGAGACCTTTCAAATGTCTAGACTGTGGGACGTGCTGTCAAAGTTCTGTGGAACTGATGACCCATCAGCGCGTTCACACTGATAAAAGACCATTCAGATGCTCTTACTGCGGGACTGGGTTCAAGCACTCATCTCAACTCATCGTACATGAGCGACTTCACACTGGGGAGAGACCTTTTAAATGCACAGACTGCGGGAAGTGCTACAAAAGTTCTGGGGAACTGATGTCCCATCAACGGGTTCACACTGACGAGAGACCGTTCAGATGCTTGCATTGTGGGACTGGCTTCAAGCACTCATCTCAACTCACTGCACACCAGCGAATTCACACGGGAGAGAGGCCTTTCACCTGCTCTGAGTGTGGGAAGGGATTTGCTCAATCAGCTGATCTGCTGACTCACCAGCGGGTTCACACTGGGGAGAGGCCTTTCACCTGCTCTGAATGTGGGAAAGGATTCACTCGCTCCTCACACCTGGTGACACACCAGCGGGTTCACACCGGGGAGCGGCCGTTCACCTGCTCCGAGTGTGGGAAGAAATTCACTCAGCTAGCCCACCTGCTGACACACCAGCGAGTTCACAATGGAGAGAGACCTTTTCAGTGCCCAGACTGTGGGAAGTGCTATAAAAGCTCTTGGGAACTAATGTCCCATCAAC